GTTGCAGGTGCTGCATGGAAGAGCTTGAAGATGAGTCCTAAATATCTAACTATAACAAATTTTAAATACTTAAAGTATATTACTTTTACAAGTTGTAATTGATGACCTGACCTCATTATTTTGGAGGTTTGTAGTGCAGTTGGTAGTTGGATAGTTGAAGTGAATTTTTCTTCCAATCTTTGCTAAGTGAAAGTCCAAAACAAGAACAAACACTCCCAAACTATTCAGAGCAGATGCAAGTTACAGATGTAGCAGTAGCAAAAAAGTGAGACTGTAAGTAGAGTAGAGGATGTTAGCTATAAAAACACTTTATTAATTAACTGAGGACTGTATCTGGGGTTGGGAAGCACCTGGATATGAAGGGAAGAACAAAAAGGATGAGAGAGCAAGATGAAGAAGGTTGACTTGTATTTGCCTGACTTCTCAAGTACCCTAAATATGAAAAGCATTAAGACTGTACAAGAGCATTAGTTTTCTGGACTACACATTTAAGTCTCTTTGCTCCAGAAATAGCACCAATAATTGTGATTCCAGGTACCAAAATAGATGTCTGTTATATAAACAGGCTAATGTGGCTTTCTGCCTATGTTTGTATCCCTGACTGAGAGGCAAAAATACTGCAGACCTGTAAAAGGGAAGAAACAAGCCAATGGTCTTTCATGGTTGCTGCAGAGATAAATCAACAGGAAAGGAAAGCTGTTGGGTTTGTTTTACAGCAGCATAAGGCTGCTTAGGAGCACTGAAAGCTCAGCTAGAAGGCAAAAGTGTTGGAATTTAATCTGAATGACTGTCTATCAAGAATGATGTAGGTATTAACAGAGGGTGGGCTGCACAGAGCAGAAGGAGATGTTTAGATGTCTCCTCTGGGACAGGCATAGCAAAGTGTCAAATGAATAACTCTTTCTTGCTGTTTGCCTCAAGTCATCTCTGGTGGTCATCTCCTAGTGTGGCAAAACCCATCAGTTTGTGTGTGCTTGGGGAGTGGGCTGATGTCCCTCACCTTACAGTCAGAGGAGCCTCAGAGCTGGAGGAAGAGTGAGAGCATAACATGGAGCAGAAAGGGGAGGTTGGAGAGGAATTGAGACCCCCTGCTCATGGTGCACTCAAGATGATAACCTGGTACAAGGAGTCCTGTGAGACCATTCCCCATATCTCCTATTAAAGTTAAAGACTTCTAGCTCTTGTATCTTGTTTTTTGTCCCAGTCTCCTCCCCCTAAATGAAAGCACTGTTACTAAACATAAAGAAAAGTTTGAAGTCCTTCCTAAAGCTAGGGAAGACTTCCCCCAGTCCTTGTGGGAAAAACATGTTTGTTCACTGTTGCTCAGGTCCTTTTAAGAACTTTTTCCTTATGTTTTTCTTTCCAATCACATGAGAAGTGAAGTAAAATATTTCCCTGCCTTTCTGTTTCTGTAAATGATTTGTTCACTTTGAAAGGAAAAAATGGTGATTAGTGTGATAACTTTTTAATGCTTGTGACTTCCATTACAGGGATTTTGGAGAGCTTTTGTCCTTTGGTTGCTTACAGCTCAAATTTGTGTCAAAGCTGTAACAGACTTCTTCCTTCATGCAGGAAAAGGCTGATAAGAAGTGATAACTCTTAGGACATAGATATCTGTACAGTAGTGCTGTTACTGAATTATTTTTTTAGAAACAACCTTTAAACCAATTTTTTGCTGTTAAATATCACCAAAATAGCAATTCATATTTTATTAATAAGCCTTGGGTTTTGAAAAAACTTCAAAGTTACTTTTGGATAAGATTTTTTCTCTCTAATATAAACTTCTAAAAACCAGGTGCACAAGTCTGGACTAGTGACACTGGGCTCCCTCTTCACAGAGTGAAGCAGTCCAAAAAATTAAATCTGCTTGTTTCTTTCCAGCAACTAAAGAGAATTTGGAGTAACTAGCTCAAACTTGTGTGCCTAATTCTTAGACCATTGTAAGGGAAGAGGAGTCCTACTGTTCACACTTGCTCTGGAAGCAAAGAATGTGTTGAAATGTCAGTCATTGCATAGTCCTTACTGGGTGTAGGATTGAGCCTGAAGCATGTGGGGTGTGCTCTGCTGCTCAGACATCAAAAATCACTCCTCCCTGGTGATCTTGCACCAATGAAGAAACAAATTCTCTCATGGTCACATCATGGAGAAACTTAATCACTTTCAAAAGGTGATTTTAGGTGGAAGTCACCACTGCAGGAACAGGACACTTTTTAGCTGCTGGGGACTGTTTGGTAGAAGTTCACTGAATAAGTGAATTAAAGTTCATCTGATTTGTTAAAGAATATTCTCTCCTAGAGGTGCGTGCTGCTTGGCTACATAAATTTTATCTGTGTTGTTTCTGAAGGTCTGGTTTGCTTTCAGTTAAGCCTTTGCAGTCAGCTCTTGAGAGAATCCCATCTGCAGGAGAATTTCTTTAGTCCTGCTTGAAGTTGATTTCAGTACACTAATAGGATTAATCTTTCTAGGAACAGATTACCCTTGAATGCAAGTGGCTTTTTAGCCAAAATGGAGGGAAAGCTGGTTCTTAAAATTCACCCACCAAAACAGAAGTTTAGTGAACCATAGCTCTTCTGAAGTACAGCTGGAACTTGGCTCTAAAAGGTTGTTGGGAAAGTAAAGGAGGGAACTGCTCTTAATTTTGGTCTTTTTCCCTTTTGTTTAGACATGAACAGAACATTTCCAGATAATGTCAAATTCCGCAGAACTGCAGATCCCTGTTTGCAGCACACACTCTACAACGTGCTGGTGGCATATGGGCATCATAACAAAGCAGTAGGATATTGCCAGGTATGTAGTCACTGGTTCTGAAGCAATGCTTCCTTTCCCCAGTGCTAATTGTTCTTCTCCATTGGAATGTGCATTTTGAGAAGAGAAAGTGAGCTTGTCTTTCCCTCTTCCTTCCTTCTGCCATCTTTCCCAAAATAATCCTTGTATGTGTGAGGCATCAGGAGATCTCAGTTTCCCCCAGTGCTGATTGTTCTTCTCCATTGGAATGTCCATTTTGAGAAGAGAAAGTGAGCTTGCTTTTCCCTCTTCCTTCTGCCATCTTTCCCAAAATAATCCTTGTATGTGTGAGGCATCAGGAGATCTCAGTTTCCTTTGTTTTCACTCTCACATTTTTCAAAGCACAGGAAGACCAGCATTCATGCAACACCACATAGTTGAGGGGGTGGCAGCATTTATTTGGTGCCATCTCTCAGTGTAGACACATAAGTAGGTAGAAAATGAGTTTGAAATTTAACCTGATACTGCTTAGATGGCAGCTCAAAACCACTCCTTCTGTCTCTTCCAAGTACTTTAGTTTCCTGTGGGACACAAAGGAAATAAAAGTTCATTCATCACAGTCAAGAAAAAAGCAACCATCTTTAAGGATTGTAAAGAAGCAGAAAATGTAATGGAAAAAAATGTGTTTTCAGTTCATTTATTAAGTCCTTTCCTCACCAAGGGCATGTGTGCTAGCCTAGACCTCATGTTAACTGAGAAATTAGTACAGTAAATGCAACTGTTCCAAAGTTAAGAGTATGAATTATGGTTATTGCAATTTGGAGAGGAGAAGACTTAGAGGAACTTATAAAAAAAATTTTGTTAGTGAATTCAGTCTGTTTATCCCAACAAGGTTTACTACAGAAATCATTTGGTGAATGGAAGTAAAAGTGGAATGATTTTTGTTTTCTGTGTTATGTATTTATTAAAACATAATTTTAGTATTTTAAGACTAACAGAAGGGGTGGAATTATGAATACTCTTGCTAGTGTCAGGCTCCTATATAGAAGTAGTTATTCCCACAAAGTCACAAATTCTAAACTGTACTAACTTATACCCAGTGTATATGTCCAGTTGTTAATGAAAAGTTTTGGTACATTAACTGTTTAATGGACTAATCTTTTCACTTTAACTTGGCATTGTGAACACCAGAGATGAAAGAAGATTACTTGAATAGAAATCACATATGGCTTTTTACCTCTAGTCTCCTCACAGGATGAACATCATCTTTTCTGGCTAAATTGTTAGAACATAGACCAAAGAGCAACATCTGCTTTCCAAGACATGTTGTAAATCAAGCAAAGATTTAGGAAATCAGCTTCTCTGTTAGTGAAGCAGCAGACCTCATCAGGACAGATACAGTGATCCCAGCTGAGCAGAGGCTCCAGAGCAGTTTTCTGTGCATGCCACTTCACATGACAGGCAGTTTCTTGTCCCCATAGATGCAATTATGCTGTCAGGATGGAAACAAAAAGTTGCCTTCCTAACTAGAAGGTCAAGCACTGTGTAAGGCCAAGTGAGGTCTGTCCAAGCCATTTGTGCAGCAGCAGCTGCAGTGGCTCAAAGCTTGGAGATGAAACCCTGGAGAAGGTGCAGTGTCCTAACACCTCCATGTCCTGGGAGTGCTACAAGCCCTTCTGTGGTGGGATGGGAGTCAAATCTCTTGGATATGAGAAATGACATCTCAGTTCAGAGAACAAGTTGTAGCTTCCAGGGTCTGTGAGGGGCGCTCTGTCTGCTGGAGAAGATGCAGTGTCCTAAACACCTCCATGTCCTGGGAGTGTTACAAGCCCTTCTGTGGTGGGACAGAGGAATCAAATCTCTTGGACACAAGAAATGACATCTCAGTTCAGAGAACAAGTTGTAGCTTCCAGGGTCTGTGAGGGGCACTCTGTCTGTGACAAGAGATGTGCTGGAGAAGTCCAGCATGGAGGGAGAGAGAATGAGGAGAAGACAAAAGAAAGGGGTGAAACCAAGGAAGGCAACGTAGCCAACAGCAGCCTTCATAGCCTGTAAATACTTAAAGGTGATTTTCTATTCAGTTCAGGAAGACTTTGGGAGGGGCTTGCACCTCAGAGGCCTGTAAATGAGTAATATTGCCATCACTTAGCACTGTTGTGGTGGATACAAGAAAAAAGGTGCCTGACACAGAGGCAGTGTCTTTACAGACAGTACCAGTTGTGACCTGTGTGTTCCCTGTGCCACTTCTCCAGACTGGCAGTGAGGGTTATGAAAATTACACAGTTGGAATTTGGCCTGTCATGACTTTTCATAAGTTTTCTTGTAGCTCTTCCAATCCTCCCCACTTCCCAGTGTTTACCTTCTGTTTGCACATTGAAAGGCAGGAGCCACAGTGGCCAGTCATAGACTAGCATGGGGAGCACTGGAGCTGTTATGGAAGCAGGTTTGCATACAGAAACTCTTAAATATATAGATATTAAATCCCTTCTTTCTATTTCAGGGCATGAACTTCATAGCTGGATACCTGATTCTTATTACTAAGAATGAAGAGGAGTCCTTTTGGTTGCTAGATGCTCTTATTGGAAGAATATTGCCTGGTATGCTAAAAACATATGTAGTTATATTCATGTACTGGAGCTTGGCTTTTATTTTATCTGTGCATTCTTCTCCAGCTTTAGAGGTTTTAAGTGTTAAAATGGACTTTGTATGGACTGAAGATTTTCTAGGGTCCTGAAAACCCAGGAGAAAGACACAGCACACAGCAGTTTGTGTGTGTTAATTTGCAGCCTTACTTCTCACTCCCTGCTTAGACCTGTTGGGTAGATGTCTTCCTATATCAGTGTGATGCTGGGGAACAGGACTTGCAAAGGTGTCTGGGATTTGGCACTCCTGATTGTGAGGGTGTGATAGGAGGCACAGCAGTGATTGCAGAGCAAAGAGGAGGCAGGGTGGATTTTCTCCAAGGGTATATGGCAAGGTGGTGATAGTTCCTGCTAGGCACAGTAGTTTCTACTCAGTTGCCTACTTCTGAGCAAGGAAATCTTGGGTGCTTTACACATTGTGAGTTTGCAACAAAGCAAACAAATGTTTAGGTCCCCATCTGTGTCTGTATGCAAAGTTCTTGTCAAAGCTCTGTTAGAATCAATGGGGATGTGGCCAGGCTGGTCAATAGAGTCCAGAGGGAAATTCAGGACACTCTAAGCCATTGACAACACCTACATGGGGTCAGTTCAGCAGCTCTCTGAGCTCCCTTGCCTGGCTCTGTGGCAGGAGGTGTTTACACACAGAATTTTACCCCATGGATAAGCTGAATTTCACCACATATGTGAAGTAGTTCATAACCATAAGCAAACATTGGGCACAGCTATGTTTTATAACCCTGTGAGATACATCTGGGAATGTTTTTTTTTTTTTTCTTGGGCTTTAGTTATAGACAAAGAATGGTTTTGTTGTGAATTCCCATTAGCATGGCACAGGGCTGGCTACAGCTGCACCCTTAATGTAAACCCATACTCAAAATGGAAGACTAATTTTCCTGTAAGGAGGCTTTGAAGTTCCCTATTGGCCAAGTTTTGCTTTTGAACAGATCTTTATCCCAAATGGTCGGAGGCTGAGTTCAGTATTAGAGTGTCAGCTAAGTGCTGGTCAAGGACATCAAAGCTGATACTTTAATTTCTGCTTCTTTCTGGTTTTGTTGATGATTAAACAACAACAAAAAGTATATAACTTTTTCTTCCTTATTGAAGAGAAGGGAAAGACTGAGAAGGAAAAAGGTCTGAGAGAGCCTTGTATTACCTTTTAACTGCAAGAAATCATCTTTTACACTGAATATATCCTATAGGAGCTCAGGTTTTCCTTGCATAGGAGCTGAGTGGTTGAACTTTGTGGATTGAAAGAGCAGAGACAGGCAGAGGACTTGAATTAATCTGCAAATATTGGAGTTTGCAACCTTGAAGTTTCCTTTCAAGCTCTAAAACCAGTCTAAAGAAATCAACTGTGTCTGTTGCTTTTGTTCAGCCTGGAGAGCTCTAAGCTGTGCAAACAGGTAAGAGGCTGGAGGGCTGCTGTCTGCCACATGAGCTGCCACTGACTGACATGGGTGGATGTCTTTCCACTGACATCACTGTGTGAGGGATGAGGACCTCTGCAAGAGGCAGGTTTCACTGCCAAGTGGTGTCAGGCAGCTTTTGCTCTTCAGCTTTTGGATAGTCTTACATGGTTTTATTTGGAGCAAGGGAATAGGTTCAGATTTTTTTGTTTTGGTAGGGAGGTTTGTCATAAAACCTTTAGTGGTGGTTGTATGTGCTGCTTCTACACTTTGGCTGGTATCTAAATGACAAAAGTTGCTCTCTTTCTTCCCTATTAGTTGCTGAATTTCTCTTATGCCAATAGCATTGGTGATTAGGAAGAAACTAATGAGGAAAGCCAATTCCTGTGTATACAGGAGATGGACATTTACTTGTGTTGTATTTATATTTTTATAGATAGATATATATATATTTTACTACCCTGTTTACAGATATATTTTTACTACCCTGTAACAAGAGTCTTGTTCCAGGCTTTGGCCTGGGTCCAGCACATCCAGCACAGGCATGCAGCTGAGGCACTGAGGTTAGAAACAGGGGTGCTCATGTTTCCTTGGTAGTCAGTGGGGAAGGGGATATCTGATTGGAATTGCTGATCTGAGTGTGCCCCTTTCCCCTCCACAGTCAATTTTAAGAGAGCTTGGGAACAAGAGCCCAAATTAGGTAGTAGGAATCTTTCATGTAGTAAAAAGTAGTTGTATGGAGTAATACAAAGGGTCATTGTCAGAAAACCTGTTGCTCATGCTATTTTTTTTTTCCTTAATTCAAAAATAAGTCTCCCTTTTTATTCCCACTACCTTCCTATGTGCTTGAATTGTATATTTATAAAACTCAAAGAATGATTGATAAAATAATGGGCATAATTTCAGTGAAATATTGTGTGTGTCAGAGAGAGACTTGGACAGGCAGATGGTATCCATCCAGAAATGTGCTCAGGTGAGTGAGTGCTGCCCTCCTGTTTATAGTGCAGCCCATTCCAGTTCAAAGCCCTGTAATTATCAATTGGGGAAGCAGAGAATCATTCTGTGTTCTCCAGATCCTCAGAGGGAAAAGCACCAGTTATTTTCATTGGCTGTTAACAACTCCATTAGCCAACATCTTTCCTTTGGTTTCATTGCTGATGGTCTTTTGTGATCTGTTTGCATTACAATCTACATGTTCGTTTTCCCCTTTCATTGTAACAGGCCTCCAGGTCATGTCCTTATTTTCGAGTGTCTCCTGTCACTGCCAGTTAAAATTAGGACAGTTTAGAAATCCTTCTCTGCCCTCTGCATTGTCCCTTTGAATGCTGCCTCTCCCTGGCCCACACACATGGAATTACATTAACCAGCTTCATGCTGACAGGAGTATTTCTGGTTAACAGATGAACCCAGCCAACCACAGATCAATGTCATTGATGGAAAACTGCAGAATGTGACAGATGGGAGCAGGAGTGGGAGCTTTCTGGGGAAGTGACAGAGAAGGGGTCCCTAAGTTGTGGTTCACCTCCCCACTTGTACTCTTTTTTTAGGTCCGGGTGGAGGTATGTGCCATAGAGTAGGACAAAAGTGTGACTGCTCCCCCCACTGACAGGAGTGGGACCCCATCAGTAGAGGTTTTCTGGCTGAATTATTGTCACACCCAAGCAGATTCAGCACAGCTGGAAGAGGGAGCCAGCAGAAATGATAGTTGGGTTTGTTGGTGTGAGGAGTTGTGTGCATGCCACTCATCTGGCCAAGCACAGCATTGCTGGGTACAGCTGGTGAGGCCACAAAGATCCTGCTGCTGAAGCCAAACCTGTAGCCTACTGCCTCTTTCTGCCAGGGATTTGGAGGGATTAGGAGCATATCTCATTTAAACACTGCATGGGGAAAGAGAATTATTTGTTTAACTGAGGTTTTGGGTGGTAGCAAGATCTTCCACTTGCAAGTTTGTTGGAAACAAATGTCTGGAGCAGCCAGTATTCCCCACAAGAAGCACTATGGACTCAATCCAAGCACAGAGGAGATGTGTCTGCACTTTGTATTCAGTGTAGCTCCAATGTTTCTGTTCTCTTCATGGCTCTGGTTGTTGTTGAGAAATGTTTTATGTTCTGTTGAGGAAATATTGGGAAGATTGCTCTAGAAAGCACCAGACAGGTGGGAAACTTCTAACCGTGGTCCTTCTGGTATGTAATTTAAGGAGCAGTCTGAAAGCAGCAGTGTCTATCCAGCTGTAATTAGTCTACATTTGCTAATCATCTATTAGTCTACATCTACTAATATTGGAGTTATTTATTCTTCCTGAAAAGCAGTGGTAGAGTACTCCTCCAATGGTTAAGAAAGGTCTTATGACTTTTGCACTGGCCTGTTCATGGCCAATTTTATATCCTTTTATTCTTGTGCCAATGCTGACTCTTGAGGTTAAAAAAAAGTCCCCCTTCCTCTCATGCTTTCATGTGTTTGTAGGATACAGTCAGTTCATTTTACAGGTCATATTAATAAGCTGCTTCAGCCAAACTCTTCTCTTGCATGAAATTTTCCCCTGTTCTTCTTTTAGCCTATTAATGATCTCGTGTGCTTGTTCCAGCTTGATTTTTATTTTTCATTTTTTTTTTTAACTTGATCACAATGGCACCCTTTTTATTTTCCAGTGGAAAATTTGCTAGTGCCTTTTGCAGTGGCATCATTTCTCTCTTTTCACAGCTGAAAGTCTTTTATTTGAGAGGAAAAACTGTAGGATGTCCTTTGCCTTCTTGCCTTTGTGGCACTCTGGTTTTGATTTGGGATCTCGGTGATAATGCATGTGCTATTGCTCCTCTCTCATTGTCAACAGATGGTTTTTCTATAGCCTAGGAATTCATAACACCTTTTTGCTGACATTGATTTGCACATTTTTGTCCTTATTTTAAATTTCATCCTGTCTCTCTTACTCCAGGCTTTTCAGTATGTTGCTCTCTTGTGCCTTGTCTCTCAGTTGAGGACTGTTAACAAATGCCAGCTTTAACTTTTCCTCCAGCATTGTTAATAAAAATCTTATGTTAGGTGCAGCCCTACAAGCATTCTTCAAGGATCAGTCTAACAACCTTCCTTCAGCCTGGTACTTCTTAGTCTTCTGTTTTAAAATCTTTAGTTTTACCCACTTATAAAATAGGAACAGATTTGTGAATGATGGAATAGTCACAAATGTGGTAGACTACCCTGAACTCACTGGCATTATCTGCAAGGACACAAGCTGCAGTGCAAGATGGCACTTAGGAGGGTAGCTGAATAACTGCTGGTTGAGGCAAATGTCTGCATCTTGAGATAATAGATATCTAAAATGCTTCTGTTTTCAGCTCTCTGTGCTTCCCAGTCATATCAAGCCATAAACTTGCAGGTTTTGTTGCATAAGAGGCCAGGCATAGTAAAAGACACAAATATTTGAACTGAATAATAACATAGTCATGTCTCAAACTCTTGTGTATCCTTCTCTTTTGAGTGATTCAAGGTAAAACAGTCTTTAAAGTCCCATCATACAGAATTGCAGGTCTGGAGGGAAGGGCCACTTGAGAG